TGCACCATTTAAGCCCTCAAAATCGCACATGGACTTTGTGCTTACTCTGCTCAGGAGTGTATATGCATCCGAAAAAGTGGGCTGTAGTCCACGAAAGCTTATGCTCTAATAAATTTGTTAGTCTCTAAGGTGCCACAAGTACTCCTGTTCTTCTTTTTGCGGATACAGACTAACACGGCTGCTACTCTGAAACCTCTCTTTCCTTTACTATTTTCATCCTCAAAGGCCATTGGTCAGTGACCATACTTCTGGGCACGGAGGGCTGGATGGACTCTCGTCTGACCCCCTGTAAGCTGATACTAAACCAGACAGAATGTGCCCTACAGATCAATGGGAGCCACTTCTTCCTTATGACTTCGTGGGGGAAGGGCTGTCACAGAATATCTTATAGGGTGGCATGTTGCATTGCAAATTTGGGTGGCGACAGTTTTGGGTGGGGACATAAGCAGACGGCTGAGTGCAAGATAAGAGGATCCTTCCCAACTTCCTTGCCACACATGCATACATTGTGATGCCTGAAAATACTGAGTAGGAGATCCCCAAGTTGTTCCTACAACAATAGCAACATCTCTCACACTCTCAGCAACTTCACTATCCCTAAAACCCCATTCTTTCCTCAAATGCAATTTACCACTAAAAATAAATAATAATAAAAAATGAAGCTGTGCAGGGGAGAAGAAAAAGGAAAGGGATAAAAATCCCTGATTTCAGAATCCTTTGTGGCATTATTGCCCCAAAGAAGCAAGCAAATAAACAACCCCCCAAACTCCAAAATACATAATTGCTAATTGCTTAACGCTGCTTGTTCTATATATGGCCAAAAAAGGCTTTCCATTCAGTGTCTATCATTTTGATCATTTCACTTTTTTAATATATTAAAATGTATAATCAGACTTCTCAAAGCAGTCTAGGGGAATCTTTCATTAATGATAGTGGAAGATATGTCTGAAACATATGGCTATATCAGAAATATGGCTAATTTACAGCAACTGGGCATCTAAATCCCTTCAGTGGATTTGCAAATATCAGCCTATGTGTCTAACTCCCCTAGACGGCTTTGAGAACCTTAACTATAATTTACTTATTTGTCAAGTATCAGAGGGGTAGCCGTGTTAGTCTGAATCTGTAAAAAGCAACA